GGGTTTAAATTGTGCTTGCATAAACTTTGATGGAACAATATTTGGTAATCAAGACAATCAACCCCTCTCTTAAGGGACACCCCACTACCATGAGCATGAAATTTTACAAGTTCGAGGCTCATATTCAAGCCTTTGAATGGAGGGTAAGGACTTGAAAAATGGGATGGCTGCTTCTGGTTGTATTGCTCATTATTAGATAATCCAAAAAAAAGAAGAAGAAGAAATCAATGTAATGTAAATTTTCTGTCTAACTAGTACTACTCTTTAGTGAGATTGCACTCATGCTGTCTGGTTCCCTTTAGTTTTTGGATTTATGTGCTCTGCATGTTTCCAGTTGCAAAATATATTATTTCCTGACTGTACTGATTGTTACTTTTTTCATAATTATGGGATGTTTTCCCCTAATGTAATTGGATTTTGTTTTATTCAAGGTTGGAGATGCTTGCGGATAAGATGTTCTTGCTCTTCAAGTAATAGCACTTTTGAGAGACATATTTGAAGCAGTCGGACTTAATCGCTACTTATTTCCCCATGGTGTTCTACCAACTGGTCCAGAGAGAGGTATAATTGAGGTGAGTGTTCCTTCCCTTATGTTGGTTTGTAGGTGTATGCTTGTATCTTTATATGTCTATCGCTCTCGGATGTCTCAGCTTGAAAATGTGACTGCTGGTGACTTTCGCATTTCCGTTATTTTGATCACGTTGCAAGAATTGTTATCTTATCTTTGTTTTCTGCTCTGGTTTAGTGTCTTCTTGAGGACATTAAGACTGAGATATTTACTTAATACCCACTTTTTCTTTGGGGAGTAAAATCCCTTTTAGCCCCCTATCTTGTCTCAAATTCTCAAATATGACCTACTATTTTTCTTTTTTGAACATTTTTACCATGGAGCCGGTAGAACCGTTGCCCTTGGTTGCCCTTGGGAGAGGGGGAATGAACCTTCAAACGTGGCTAACGCCACTTGGCCCATAGGCCAGGTTCAATATGACCTACTATTTTAAGGAATTGAGTCTTCCAAGTTAGATAGTTCAAATAGACCAACGTCACATTAAAGTTGCTCTTTCAACCATGTTGTTAATCAAGATTATTACTAATATTAAAATCATTGTTTAATCAATATATTAATTGGTTCATTAATTAATTAAAAAGAAGACAGTATCCATTTGAGCACCCATCACTCGCTGAAATGTACAGCAGAGTTACAGTTATTCTGTTCACTTCAAAACTTATGTGGGAATTCCATGTTTGATGCTTTGGACAGTGGAGTGCAGCAGATACAAACCTTTTGTTGTAAATTAATGTACAAAACTCATATTGTATCTACCATTTGCATATTTAGTATTGTACTGCAATTTGTATTTAGCAAGGAAATCCGCGTTCATTAAGATCTAAGTTTCACCATTTTCCAAAAACCAAAATGTTTGTTATCATATGCCTTCTTTTGATGGGGGAACATCAGTAACATTTTCTTAGCATCAATTTTAAAAACTGGTGACGCGCCAAAAACTGAAATTACCCAATTGGTCTCCCGACAGTACTGTAGTTAGGGATGTAATCCGTTCTTTTGGTATACCGTTGCCATCTCATTATGCTTTTTATTACACCTACCTGTGACTACTAAGATGATTTTGCAGGGCTAAAGGACAATTTAGGAAATACCATATGTAATTTCATTTGGTTTCCTCTATAAAAATGTGCCACAGTTTCAGGATGATAGCGCAGCTTGAATTACTAGGATGCCATTTTTTCCCCGCATCATGTTGCTATTAAGAATCTAAACAGCAGAAAAGATGCTCTTAAGTGCTAATAAGCCTTCTTGCCAATGCAGGTTGTACCTAATACAAGAAGCAGAACTCAGATGGGTGAAACAAATGATGGTGGTTTGTATGAAATTTTTCAACAAGAGTATGGACCTGTTGGCTCTCCTAGTTTTGAAGCTGCACGTGAAAATTTTATAATTAGCAGTGCTGGGTATGCAGTGGCCAGCCTTCTGCTTCAACCAAAGGACAGACATAATGGCAATCTTTCTTTTTGACAGGTAAGATAGTGCTATTCATATTCTTCACTGTAGAAATTTAAAATTGTCAACTTCAATATAGGCAGAGGGTTTAACAAACTATTTAATTTGTCTACTAAAACAAAAACGTTTAAATGATGTCAGGGGACCTGAATATCCTATCAGCGGTCCCTTGTTTGTTTTTTCTTAATATGTTTAACGGTAGAATAAGTGAAATTGTAGAAAATGCAGTAACTGTAATATGCATCTTAATGCAGTGCAGGGAGGCTTGTTCACATTGATTTTGGTTTCATCTTTGAAATTTCACCTGGTGGAAATTTGCGGTTTGAGAGCGCACACTTCAAGTTGAGCCATGAGATGACTCAATTACTTGATCCATCAGGTGTTATGAAGAGTAAAACCTGGAACCAGTTTGTCAGGTAATGCTTTCTGGTTGATTTCTTCCTATATTCACATTTGCAATCTCTTTTCTCTTTACCGGAGTTGGTTTAATCTGTTCTTTATCAAATATCTGCACAGCTTATGCGTGAAGGGATACCTTGCTGCCCGCCATCACATGAACGGAATCATCAGTACGGTTTTGCTGATGCTTGACAGTGGATTGCCTTGCTTCAGCAGGGGTGATCCTATTGGAAATCTGCGGAAGAGATTCCATCCTGAGATGAGTGAACGTGAGGCTGCCAATTTCATGATCCGGGTGTGCACGGATGCATACAACAAGTGGACGACTGCCGGCTATGACTTGATACAGTATCTTCAGCAAGGCATCGAGAAGTAGAGGAGAATACAGGAAAGCTCATTTTCAAGTGTACATTTTTGTTTGTAATTTTCCCTTCCTCTATTTTTTGTTTTGTTTATCTAGTAGCAATTTTTCCTTGGGAATTCTAGAAACGGGAATCGTGTAGTCAAAATATTGAGGAAGATAAAGTAAAATAGAGTTGTTTGTTGTACCCAAGCTGTGGAATTTCCCACTACTTCTGTAAAAATACGGTTTGTAATTCCCATTTTATTAATGGTATATTCATCATCTTGTTACGGGTGGGGAACGACACCATTTATCAACTTCTTCTTTCTTTTTTTTTTTCATTTTTCATTTTTTTTTGTTTTTATTTATTTATTTATTTTTATGTGAAAGAAGTTACTTATTTGATATTATAAAAATTTAAATCCTTAATTTTAACCTAAATTAAAAAATTTTAAATTAATATTAAGTCCGTTAAATAATTATTGATAGTATCAACTAAACATAATACCATAGATTGTTCTTCTAAGAACAAATTAGTTTTCAGATAGGTAGGTAGCGTGCATTTTCAAACAAGCATCCTTAGACCATGTAATGCATTTACTCTCGGAAGGAGCAAAATTTAATAATGGGAAAAGCAAAAATATGAATATAGTTTTCCAGATTAAAAAAAAATAAAAATTTACGGCATATAAATTCAAATGATTGAATTTATTGTGCTCTACATTAAACATAGTTTAAATTGCAATATATATATATATATATATATTATTTTTTTACTATCAAACATAATTTTCAATATGTAAATTCCATAGATGAGACTTAACAGGTGAGAAAGGATTTTTATTTTATTTCCTTTTCATTCCTTTCCTTTCCCTAAAGTTGACTCTTTTCTCATCCATCCTGCAATTTTTAAGGATAAATATGTGATCTAAAAATTCTAAGCACACAAATTTACTAAACTACCGTTACCCCGAGCTTTGCCCTTTTGGATTTGCTCACTGAATCCGATCGTTACCGTCAACGTTGCCTTCAACTTCCTTATTTTCCTTCCTTCCTTTTGATCCCCTCCAATTGAATTTCCCAAACAGCCCCTCCATCTCCTCCAACGTCTTCCCCTGAGTCTCCGGTAAGATCATGTAAAAGAAAATCCACGACACCATCGCAATTCCGGCATACAGGAAGAACGCACCGCCAATCGTTATGGCTTTGTACAGTGAAATGAATGTCATG